CGTTCTTTGCTAGTCGGCCTTCCGCTCTTAGCACATGTCCAACCGGCTGAAACGGGCGCTCTGCAGCCGATCCCTGAGAATCCCACTTTCTCCTTCCTCCTTATTTCTTCCCTGTCTACCCTCCACTTATCTCCCATCCTCCTCAGTTCCATGCTGGGGTCTTCTTTTCCCTGCTGGAGGCCTCTCTCCCGTGGCACGGAGTGTACTTCCCAAGTCTACTAATTCCTCTGAGGCAATATCTCTCCTGAAACTTCAGTCAGCTCTTGCTCCCACCTTCTCTGCATCATTTCAGTTTTTTCTGTGGTTACCTTCAAACCCGGGTCTTCAAACTCTGACGCCCACCCTGACAGCATATTTATCAATGCTGATTTGCTGTCAGCCAGAGGGTTTGTCAGCGAATATTTGTTTTCTCTGTGTACCCAGAACCCTGCGTCCTCTCCATCTCATATCAAAACTCTCAAAACGATCCCCGTAGCTCCTGAACCTCACTGCAGCTCCTCTAGCATCTCTGTTCTTGCCGTCCCTCTCCCGTCCTGTTCCATGCTCCAAACACCATCTCCCACAAACTCCGCCCTGCTTTTCAAGGCCAATACGTTTTACGTTGCAGTTAGGGCCGCTAGCTATCATGGTATCAGACTGCTGTCTGTTTGCGAATATTGCGTCTGTGGTGCCCTTTCTCAAGCCATGAGGCTCCTCTTCTGTATTTCCCTCACCTTCCACCTCAGCCTGGTCTCCAGATCTCTCTCAAGGACTTCGAGAGGTTGACTTAGCAGCGTGATGCTGCAGTAGGTTTGGGATGATTGGCATCACTCGTACCCTGCTGAAGTATTGGGAATCAGGGCTCAGGTAGTGATGCTGCAGTAGGTTTGGGATGATTGGCATCACCCGTACCCTGCTCAAGTATTGGGAATCAGGGCTCACGTGTTCTTGCGTAATGGTCAGAGCAGGAGTCCTAGCTAGTTCCGGTGTAAGGGCAGGAACTGGAGGAGAGGCAAGGCTCAGGTCTGAGCAGGAACAAGGTCAGAATTGGAGCAGGCGTCAGGAAGAGAGTTGGATACTGATTGCAGGAGGCAGGGAAGAGTCACTTTCAAACCGGCAGCAGCCGGGAGTCTGTGCGGCCAATGGGTTCTAGAGACGCATCCTTGGGTACTAACGTGAAGGCATAATCAATCCCACCCAGGCCTCTGGTGTCCTAGCGTGTTCCCAGCAATCACACGGCGATCTGTGAAGACCCTTCACTCTAGTATGTCCAGCTACATTGATCATACGAACTGTTATCTTCCCTTCACCAGCTGCCTTGCCATTGTCCACCTTGCCCAGGGCTGCTTCTCTCTGCAGAGATCGATGCCCTCTGAGGTTTCCTCATCACTTCTGGCCCTGCTTGCCCTCCTGGGATCCTCTTCTCATTTGGAAATATTTCCCCCCCAGTAGCACGAGGGCTCATCTCCTCACTGAACCCGTCCTTCCTGCAGAAAGATTGCGTCACACATTGGGTTTCATTCTTCCTCTTTGTGACCAACTCCAAACGCAATTTCCTTCCATCTCCTTCCTCCAGTTTTCTGCAAAATTCCTCTTCTGCAGTGTCTCTTGATTTAGCAACTGCCCTTTCAGCCTCCTTTATTTTTTTGGCGTTAGCATTTTTGATGGTCTCATTATTGCAAGCTGCTACCTCAAGCTTTCTTTCTTATCATATGTTCACTTATCAAAGCATGGTCCAAACTTTGCTTCTACCCTTAGTTATAGCAAAACAAACACAAGCAAATGAGGTAATATTAAAATATATTGAGTTGAGTAGAGAGATCTTTCCATTTCCAAACAAAGGCAGCACATGACTCATTGGCTGGAAAGTGAAGCTAAATAAATTCAGGCTAGAAATAAGGTGGAGGTTTTTACCACTGACGGTAATTCACCACTGAGGCATTCAAAGTGGCCGCCTGCCCACTAAGCAGTGAGAACAAGTGCTAATCTGCCCAGTTGCTGAGATGCCTTCCCATGGTTCCCTGTGTTTGCCTAGAAGCATGGATTAGTTCTCCCACAATGCACCAGGAGAGAATTTTCAGTGCAAAGCACCATGGGATATTCCCCCAGCTGTCCGAGTTACCCTCGCAGGTGAGCACAGCTCCAGAGAGGACACAGTGAATTGGTGCCAGAAAGTGACCGTGCCCAGTGTTTGGGACAGGAGTCATGCCTAGTAGTTGGAGCAGTAGTCAGTGGCCAAAAATCAGAGCCCAGGACTAGCACAGGAGTCGGCACGGGGCAGGACATGGCAGTGTGGCTGCTCACACCCGGGCTAGATTAACTCTGCGTTCTGACCCCGGTGCCAGTCATGCCACAGCATAGACCTGCCCCAAGGGCTGGGTTTGGGAACAGGTGCATGGGCAACCCTCTGTAACCTCTCACCTTTAGCTCCCAAAGGCACCACTGTGCACTATTATGTAGCTGCCACCCACTAATGAATTAGGCAAGGACCCCGATGAGTAATTGAGGCCTGGTGCTCCCTGCATTCCAGGGCCAGGGAGGGTCTCCTGAGAATCCCGTCTCTCCACTAGGAAGTGGAATTTCGCTACATGAGTCCAGAGGACCAGCAGCCGTTCATGGAAATCTACACCAGGGGCATGACGGAAGGACTGAAACTCGTCTTAGTGATGAAGGGCTACGGGGAAGTTCTCTGGAAGGTCTGGGTGAGACCAGGTGGGGACCGCCTTTGGGTCTGTGTTTCTACAGTGCCGAGCATGGGAGCAGGGATCGATAATAGGGCGTTCTTTCAATGGGCGAGCTATAACACTTTGATCCGTTGATGTGGGGGTCCAAAGGGGGCAGCTGACCTGGAGCATGGTGATTTAAAAGGCCCAGGGCTTTCAGCCCTGCAGCTGCTGTGGATGTGCCCAGCTTGTCAGAAGCCCGGCACGTCTGTTGGCAACCCCCCACCCCTGAGTGTTCCAAACCCAGGGACTCCATGGCCCATCCTAGGTAGCCATTCAGACCTCAAAGACCCCCCTGGGATGTAACATGTCCAGTACAAGTGGGAGTTGATTCCGATGAGCAGTTTGACTGATCTTCTCTCTGTTTCTTTCCTAGAGGACGTGATGCTTTTGGGTTCCTCCTCTGAAAAGTTTAAAGGTCAGTTCTCAGCAAGAGAACCCAGGAGTCCTGACTCCCCATCTCCATCCACATGTGACCCCCTTCCACTCCCAGAGTCTGGAGTAAAACCCAGGAGTCCTGACCCAAGCCCCGCTCACAGTAAACCACTAGCCCCCACTTCCGTCCCAGAGCCTCTTCGAGGGGGAGCTTAGATCCTGATTTAAACCACGAATCTCTGAACTCAGTGGTGGGCAACGGAGGCTAGCGAGTGGGCCGCATGCGTGGGCCTCCTTCACCTCAGTGGGCTGCAGGATTGTTGGAACCAAGACGATCTCTTGGGCTATGGCAGTTTTGTTCCCTGCACTGGCATCTCTAGAATTTTCAGGGTGGCAGGTTGAACTGGAGCAGCACTGTGCCTGGATGCAGAGGGAGTGCCCAGCGCTCACAGTCAGAGTTAGGTGCAATCAGCCCGCACCTCACTTCATGTGCCCTGGCTTTATGTGGGCATCACTTTTAGTAATACTGGTTGGAAAAAACCACCGCAGACAGAAACCCGGGGGATTTGGAAACCCTGCGCGTGGGCAACAGTGAACAAAACGTCTCATGGGCCACACACAGAACCCCAATGGGCCACATGTGGCCTTCAGACCACAGGTAGCCTGCCCCCTCCTAACTAGTCACACTAAGTTTAGCCCTTTGTTTTCCAGGGCTTCAGAAACTGCTCCCTGAACTGCAACAAGGGTTTGGCAGGCCATGCAGCCGGAGAGAGCTTGGAATGTCACCCCCAGCTGCTTGGAGCTCGCCAGCACAGCCAGTGGATGAGGAAGCCGAGAGAGATCCCCACAGCAGTGCTACATGCAGGGCAGTGGCTAATGAGTGAGTATTGAGCAGCGGAGACAAGTGTGAAATGGACACTCCAAACTTGGCTATGCAGGTCAAACTAGACCATCGGAAGGGTCCCTTCTGGTGTTATTTATGAAACCAGAGTCGCTGCTCCTGCGACGAAGTTACTATCCCTGGCAAAGCCACACTAATGCAGAGGGTGATGGCTCCCTTACAAAATGTCTCTTGGCATCTTACAATGTATGGGCCAGAAGGAACCTTTCTGATCTAGCCTGTTCTCTACCACGCTCTCAGCTGATGATTCCTGTGTCCAGTCGCATAACTCCAGTGTTTGAGCTAGAGTTTGTCTTTCAGCAAGAGACCTCTGGAAGTGTTACAATCCATCACGGCCCATGGGTGTGGCACCAATCTTAAGGGGTCTCGTGGTTGCACCTAGGAGCTCAGTCCTGGCCCAGCCCCCATTGCTGGAGGGGCTGGCAAACCCGTTGTATATTTCTGGAGCAGAGCTGGGTAGGAAAAGTTTTCCCATCTTGTTACACATTTTGAAGATATCAGCAAATTTTCCCTTTTCCTCATGATTTGGAAAGTCAGAAGGTTTTGATTGTGACGCTATCTACCTAACTAGCTAAAGCCCCGTTTCAAATGTAAATGTTACCTTGAATGAGAACCAGAATATTTTTCTTTTAAAAAACGTTGACACAAAATGTTTCAACAATTTCAAAACTTTTCATTAGCATTTTTTCTTGAGCTTCAGAGGGGTGGCTGAGTTGGTCTGCACAGGATAAACTTCAACAACAACAAATAGTCTGGTAGCACTTTATAGACTAACAACACACGTAGATGGGGTCATGAGCTTTCATGGGCACAGCCCACTTCTTCAGATGGAGATCCAACACTCCGGTCATCTGAAGAAGTGGGCTGTGCCCACGAAAGCTCATGATCCCATTTACACGTGTTGTTAGTCTATAAAGTGCTACCAGACCCTTTGTTGTGTTTAAAAATGTTTCTCCGGTCACGAAAGTCCTTCAAAAATGTTCCCACAAAAAGTTTCAGTTTCAAAGATGTGGCTCAGGTCTGTATGCAGGAATTTCTGTGAGGGGGTGCGAGCTGTGGGAGGGGCTGGTGGTTGTACCATCCCTGTGGCCTGTCCCTGCCCCTGCGCTCGCTCCTGGGGGAGGAAGGCCGAATCAGCCCCAGCTTTCTCCCGGCCAGCCAGAGCACGGGGGAGGGAGGCTGGCAGTGCACCGCCTCTGCTTTTCCCTGGCCAAACGGAGCATGAGGGAGGGAGGCTGGGGCAATGCGCCACCCCCACCTTTCCCACATTGGCCAGAATTGGTCCCATGGCGGACCATGAAGGACCGTGGGGGGATGTGTTCACACCCTTTGCATCCCCACTGCATACAGGCCTGGGGCTGTTGCAATTCAGGGCTCCTGCACTAATATTTCCTCCCGTGGTCCCTTGAGGGCACCTGCTTTAGGCTCTCTGTCCGTCACCTCCTTGGACAGAGACCTGTGTCTTTCTCCATCCCGGACAGGTCCCAGTCTGCTCTGTGATATTCCCAGCATGCGTGGCTGCCTAAACAGGCTAGCATCTGAGCTTTGCTTTCTCCTCCGAGGAGATGAACAACAGAATTGCCAGCAGTTATAAGTTACTGCACAGCCCTTTATAAGCAAGCACAGCAATTCATAAAGGGAAAGCAATAAAGTACAAACATATTAACTTCAATTCAAGTTCCTAGATGCAGGCTACAGGCTTCCCAGAAGTTACCCGTCAGTAGGCCAAAATCCTTCCAACCCTGCCCAGGAAAGATTGGTGGCCCCTGAAAGTCCTTTCTGCTTGTTGGAACAGGAAAAAGGCTTTGCGTGAGTTTGAACTATCCAGTGGTTTTGGAAGTATGGGTCACGACCCAGCCGTGGGTTGTGGAATGCCAGGCACTGGGTTGCTTTGCAGTAGGGTGTCCAGGTGAGAGGGGGTTGCCAAGGCAGCCTTCCTGCCTGTCCTGGCACCATGGACCACACTGCACCCCAGAAGTGGGACGCACTGCCTTCCTCCTGAGCACTGGCTCCATGCTCTCATTGGCTGGTTCCTGAGCAATGGGACGTGGGAAGGACAGTGCCTGCGTGTGAGAGCAGCATGCAAAGCCCCTCGCACACCTCTGCCTAGGACTCAGACCTGCTACTGGCTGCTTCCAGAACACAGTGTGGTCCGAGGTGCCAGGACCGACAGGAGGCCAGCCTTGGAATCCCTGCTGACGGGGAGTTGCTGAGGTAAGCCCATGTCTGGTCTGGTGCCCCAGCTCTGAGCCCTCTCCGGCAGCCCCAACCCCTCAATCCCAGCCCCACCCCAGAGCCCACACTCTCATCAAAAGACATAATTCCAGTGGGTCATGGGCATCGACAGTTGTCTTCAACTGGGTCATGAGAAGAAAAGTTTGAAAACTGCTGAGCTAGGCTATGCCGGCCTGTCTAGCGGGTGATGCTTCTCTGGAAGTGCGACAACATGTGCGTGTGCAGACACACACTTTTCTCAGTTCCTGGCAGGGCTGTGGCTCGCTTCCCGCATGGAATGGCATATGTTCTCTGATCCACAGCACCATATGAACGGGGGCGGCGGGCGTGTCTGTGGTCTGTACAGTCCAGTCTCTGACAGTGCTGGGGCCAGGGCCTTCAGAGGAAAGTATGAGTCGTAACCTTCCCGTGACCTTGTATCTCATCCTGCTCTCTAATAGCGAGAGATCATCTGAAGCCCAGTCATGGGGCTTGTCCCTTCCAAAACTGTTCTCATCAGTTAGCATAACTCTGGATAGTCTTGATTGCTGTCGCTCTCTTGGCCCCAAGATATGAAAGAGACAAGGTGGGCGAGGTTATAGCTTATATTGGCTCAGCTTCTGTTGGTGAGAGAGAGAACCCTTCAGAAGACTTCTGTATGGCTCAAAAGCTTGTCTTTTTCTCCAAGGTTATGTCTACACTACTAAGTTTTTGTGCAAAAACTGGCAAAGTGTCCACACCTCAAGCACGTTTTTGCGCAAAAAAAATGACAGTCAAGTGACAGGACAGAGGGCTTTTTCTGGTAGAGTTATTGCTCTCCCCGCGTGGAATAACTCCTTTTTGTGCTACAACCCTTGCGCAAAAAGGTGTGTGTGGATGTTCTGCTGGGGTTTCTTGCGCAAAAAGAGCCTTATCGCAAAAAGCACAGGTGCTCTGATGGCCGTTCTATGAATGGCCATCAGAGCTTTCTTGCGCAAAAGTGTCCATGCAGCATGAAAGCTCTCTTCCGCAAAAGCACAATGCGCTTTTGAAGTGTGGATGCGCTTTTGCACAAGAAGTTTTTGGGGAAGATCTCTTCTGCAAAAAGCTTCTTGCGCAAAAACCCTGCAGTGTAGACAAAGCCCAAGAGAAGCTGATCTAATAAAAGATACAAGCTGAACCTCTCTAGCACCCTTGGTACCTGACCAGTGCCAAACCAGAGAATTTGCTGAACCACAGGCGGTCAATATTGTCTCACACCATTACCTACTCTTTCACAGTGTGCTGGGCTCTTAGAATACATTTAACGGTAAATTAGAGCTAAATAACAGCACAGAACACTGAGAGCCAGGACTGGTGTCTGTAAATAAACTTTATGGGACTGCAGGAAGCTTGGCCACACCCTTAATAAGTGGGCATTCAGCTAACTCAAATCATGCCGGGCCGCGGATGTTGCCAGACTAGAGAGGTTTAACCGGTGATTCTGTTCCATTCCAGGCCCTGTGACTGGCCAGCAATGGTGTCGAGTGGGGACTCCTGGGAAGTGATTCAGCGGCTGAGAAGCAAGTTAACAAGAATCCTCCAGAGAGACGTGGAGGCCGTGATCAGCGCTGCCGACGCCCACCTCCTCCTCACGCCGGCAGAGTATCGTACCCTGAACCGGCTGGAGGATCCAGGCAGCAGGGTGGCCACGCTGATTGATATGGTGCTGGCCAAGGGGGAACAGGCCCATCAGCTATTCTTGAACTGCATGAGACACCTGTGTTTCACCTTCCCTGGCCTGGAGCCCATCGTCGCGGAGTTACAAACGGGTGAGATTCACCACCGGCACTTACATGTTTTATGAAGTTAAAAATGAACATGGGTTTTGATCGGAGCCAGATCCTGCATCCTTTGAGAGGACAAACTTCCCATTGACCAAGCCGAATCAGGCTGCTCAGGGCTTGAGTTAAGGCTTATTGCGACGGGAACACTGTAACATGGTGAAGGATGCATGGGAAATAAAGGCCCCTCTCTGGATAGCTGCAAATCCTGCAGAAATAGCTCCCACAAGTGGTACAATGTTGGAACTGCAGAGAGGGAAGCTGTTGTAGTGACTGCAGAAAACTGGTGGGGCCTTTCCTTTGTGATTGTCTGTAAGCCCAAAAGGCATAGGTGGCTTAATGGTTTCTTCTGGTCTCCAACAGGCTTCCAAGCCGACGTGGCTATCCCCAGGGCACAGACAGAAGGCCCAGACAGTGCAGCAGGTAAGATATGGCGCTGTAGGTGCAATATGTCTGGCTTACAATGGGTGGACCCCCCTGGATAGAAGAAGCAGAGAAAGGCAGGGGAGAGGTGGAGAAGGTTCCCTCGTGTCCTGGTCAGAGCTTGGGTTCTCCGGGGAGGCGAACAGCATGAGACCCTGTATCAGTTCACTGCTTTCTGGTGTCTTCTCTTCAGGGGAACATTTTGTGGATCGGCACCGAGCAGCGCTGATTCAACGGGTCTCCATGGTGGATGGGGTCTTGGACATGCTGTGTGGCACCGTGCTGGACAGCGAGCAGTACCAGAACATCCGAGCTGAGAGAAGCAACCCAGATAAGATGCGCAAGCTGTACGAGCTCATGCCGAGCTGGAATCAGGTCTGCAAGGACCGGCTCTACCAGGCACTGAAGGCCAAGCAAAAGTTCCTCATTGAAGACCTTGAGGGGAAGTGAATGCAATGAATTATCCCTCCTCCTGGAATGGCTTTGCCTAGAGTTTAGGCCTACGGTGCTAGAGTTGTGTGCAGTCGGCATGTACCTCACTCCATGTGCATGTCACGTTAGTAACATGGGTAGGAGCAAAACCTACGCGAACAGAAACCAGTGGAACCTGGCAACCCTGAATATGGGCAACAGTAACAAAATGTCTCATGGGCCATGCACAGAATGCCAATAGGCCACATGCGGCCTGAGGGATGCCCACTGCTGTTCCAGTGCCATGTGCATTCACTGTCTGACCTCAGGCTCTCTAGAGAGGAATCGTAACAATTCACTGTGAAAGCAAAGCACAATCCATCACTTTCATTACCCAAAAGGAGGCCCTTTCTTTTTAGGCTTGGAAGGATTCGATTTTTATCCGTCTGTCAGAAAATGTCAATTTCATCTCACACAGATTGATGTAAAAATATTTCCATTTATAATCACCAAAATGGACAGAGAGGCAAAAGAAGACAAAAGCTGATTACATTGACTTTAAGGATATTTCTTTGTCTAGTTTGAAGTTTGATTTTTATATGAATGGTTATAAACGTTAACTTTCTGAATCGCAATGTTTACTGTCCTTAATTACTGTCTGACCCACTGCTACGCACACAGTTTTCTGCAACTGTGAAAATCTGAGCAGACAAAAATAGGAAAAAACGGTGTAGACCATACTTTTGTGCAACTTTGGAGATTTTAAATGGATAAAAATAGGGGAAAAAAAACTTAAAAAGCAATGTCGACATTATCTTATAAATCCCTTCAAATTCTGCCAAGCCAATTTTTTTTTTCAGACTGGATATATAGCCCAGTGGAAACTCTAAGTCCTGAAAATAGAGCGTTTAAAGAGAAGTTCTGACCAGACATACGTGGTCCAATCACAGGTGTGTCATAGATAGTAAGGAACTGACATAACAGGTACATGGGGATATCCACAGATCTCTAACCACAAAAGAGCTCTGGCAATACACCTCATTAGTAAGGCGAGGTACCTCAAATAAAGAAAAAGGGATAAAACGCTCCTAGCTGTGCATCAGCTGTAGCGGTATCAGCCCATCTTATTATGTCAGAGGGTCTTTCTCCTACAGTAGGGGTGGGGAACCTTTTTAGGGACGAAGGCTGCTGTCCCACAGAAAAATCAGTTGGGGGGCTAGTGTGGGCTTCCAATGCGGGGGAGGGAGGGGCAAGCCTCATTTGCCAAATCCAGGCAAATTAGGGGCTGCGTCTGGCCTTAGATTCCTGTTCCTGTCCCATAGGGTAGTATATCAATTATCCCCAATTGTTACCCTATACATAGGGTTGCCAGATGGTTTCAACAAAAACACCGGACACGTTTGACATTACATCATGATCTACATGAAATACTGGACGTTTCTATTTTCTCATTTTATTTCCTCAAGTTGTTTCCCGAACAGAAAGCTCAGATACTGGACTGTCCGGTTCAAAACCAGACACCTGGCAATCCTGCTTATACATCAGTTTGTCTAGGATACAGGCTGGGCCTTTGGGCCATGTGTCTGTTCAGTGGTGAGAGGCCATGTGCTAACTTGCTGAAGCGAATGTCTGGCAGGACACAGGCTGCAGGTTCCTGGCATCGCTGCTCAGGACAATACAGGCCAGCGAGCCCTGCGGGCAGGGGAGTCGCCATCCCTGCAGCTCCCAGCTCCTGCCTTCCCCATGCAGCCGGCTCCAGCTGCCACAACCCCTGCTGGCCCTCAGGCCCTGCCTGCTCTGGGGCCCAGCCCCCTCCCCTCCTCCACAGCCAGAGCCCCCCGGCATGGGCCTAGCCCTCCCCAGGGGTCTGTGCACCCTAAGCTCTGGGGAGCCCTTCATAGTCCCACCTCCGCCTGATTGGCTGCTCAGGCCTCTATGCAAATGACCCCAGCCCCTGTGCCCTGAGGCTAACGAGGGCCCAGGTGCTGGGGGGGGGGAGGGGGGGAGAGACGGGAGCTCAGAATGTGCCTGGTGTGACAGTTAAACTGTCCCAACGGACTCAGCGAGGGAAGGGGGGAGGGGAGAGGAGAGGGGTTGGGGGATTCATGGGAGGGGGCAGTTCAGGGGGCAGGGGCAGTTCGGGCCGTGAGGCACAAACAGGCTGCTTTGGCCAGCAGGGACCTTCCTGTCTCCCCTCAGGCTGCTGTGGGAGACATTTCCCTTCACCCCTCAGAGGGGGCCTGTCCCAGGCCAGGGGATGTGTGGGCTCCAGCTCCGGCCTTGTGATGGCCCCCGGCAGTTGCTCTCTGCCCCCCATCCCCTCAGCCCAGCTGGGCCCCTCTGCGTGGGGCTGGGGGAGTCTCCCAACGGGGCCGTTTGCTCCGCAGCCTCAGCTCCTGCTGGGTCCCTGCCTCAGGGCAGCTGCTGCCCCGTCCCCCTCAGGCCAAGCGGCTCCGGGTCATTTGCCGAATGTCCCCAGAACAAAAGTTCCCCTTGGCAAACGGCCGATTCGGGGAAACGAGATATGAGAAAACAGGGAGGAGGGTTAAAAGTTGGGAATTAGGGCTGCCGATGGGGTCACTGAGCAGAGGAGCCTGGGCAGGACTCACTCCAGAGACGCCCCGGGGCTCTGGTCGCAGACCTGGGGTGCAAGAGAAATGGGAAAAGGCCACCGCCTGCTGGGGCCGTAGATGGCCGTGGTGGTTGATGCCAGAGAGGGGCTGATGGGGAGGTTTGGCCAGGCTGTGGGGCCGTGGGTGGGGTGTGCTAGGGGAGCGGGGAGAAGCACAGCCACGTGCCCAGCCGGACAAGCTGCGAGAGGGGCTGTGACCTGGGAAACATGCCAAGGTGTCAGCAGCGGACCGGCTGGAGGATACCGCGCCTGCACAGGAGGTACCTCCGAGGTGGCTGGGGGTGGGGGGTTTTCTGTGTCTGTGTGCACGTGCACATGGCATGGGTCTGATGGGCACTTCCAGAGGACCCATGGATGGAGCAGTCGAGACACGTGTGGGGTGGGCTGATCCGTGTGCTGGGTGAGTGCAATGGGGTCCAGTAGGAAAAGTTGGCAGTGGCCATGTTGAATTTTTAACTATAAACTATCATTAATTGTAACTCATCGAACCCTTCAGTTGGAAGCTAACTATGGGTTCACACACGCCAAAGCATCATGAGACTGTCACCATCTCTGATAAGGTGATTAAAGAAAGTGAATTATTTTTGCAATTTAAACCCCATGTGAGGTTTTTCATTGCAGGTAGATGCATTCCTATGTCTCTCTCCTGGGTGACGCCATTAATGAGATACCGTGAGAGAGTTAACAAAACTTGCTTTTAGTTCCCCTCTTTGCAGCTATAATCAATTCTTTTATCTCCCCAGCACTTCCTTGTTTTGTGAGTTGAATGAGTATTTGGCCTTGTCTGGTGTCATGAGACCAAGTACACGTTTGCATATTGACATAATTCCTCATCACCCTTGATTCTCCCCCTGGACACCCTTGCGGGGGGGTCATAATGAGTGTGTTTAAGATTCAGGAGTTGTATATATTGCACCGGTTTGAAGTTTTGTTTAATCCAGCACATCCAGATCATCAGCATGACCAACATTACGATTTGGAATATCTAGACTACTACACTAGGATGTAAGATTACATTAAAGAACTCCTTTGCTGTGGGAGACCATTCCCAAAATACTTCCCACCATCTGTGTTTGGCACCACTTTTTATCCGTTCAATTACTTACTCAGTTTTCTTAGGAGAATGGTGGACAGAAATCAAAACCCTGTGCATTCTCCTGAGGCTTTTGCCATTGTTTCTGTAACTCTGGATAATCCCTTAATTGCTTAACCAAATTTATGTTGCATACTAAAGTTATTAGGTCTATTTTCTACCAATTTGGTATCAGTCTTTGATTTCCTCATTTCAGTTTCATAGAATCATGGAATCCTAGAGCTGGAAGAGACGTTAGAAGGTCATCAAGTCCAGCCCCCTGCCCTAGGCAGGACCAATCCCAACTAAATCAACCCGGCCAGGGCTTTGTGAAGCCGAGACTTAAACACCTCTAGGGATGGAGACTCCACCCCCTCCCTAGGGAACCCATCCCAGTGCTTCACCACCCTTCTAGTGAAATAGTTTTTCCTAATTTCCAGCCTAGACCTCCCCCACTGTAACTTGAGACCATTGCTCCTTGTTCTGCCATCTGTCACTACTGAGAACAGCCTCTCTCCATCCTCTTTGGAACCTCCCTTCAGGCAGTTGAAGGCTGCTATCAAATCCCCCCTCACTCTTCTCTTCTGCAGTCTAAACAAACCCAAATCCCTCAGTCTCTCCTCATAGGTCATGTGCTCCAGCCCCCTAATCATTTTGGTCGCCCTCTGCTGGTCCCTCTCCAATGTGTCAATATTCTTTCTATAGTGGAGGGCCCAGAACTGGACACAATACTCCAGATGTGGCATCACCAGAGCCGAATAAAGGGGAATAATCTCCTCTCAGGAATAATCATTTCAGGTAATGTGGAGTTGAAATCACAACCGAACACTGAAGTAACATTACATAAACATTTCTTCTCCGCCAGTGCCTCTCAGCCACCCCAACTTGCCCTGAAACACAATTACTTTTTCCTCTCTTTGACCATCATAAATGCCACCATTCTTACATGGAAACATTCAACATGCTTCCCACATAGAAGTTTATTAACAAATTGTTTAACAGCAAATGATGTGGTAAGGAATAAATGTGGGAAATCATTCTGTGTCTTCCCCATCCTCTCTCTAAGCACGTCATCAGCATCACTTGGATCACGGCTTGCAACTTCTGCCACTACAAGCTCCTTCTGCTGCGTATGTGACCTCCATCTTTATTACTTTGCTGTTGTGAAGCTTGTGAGAAAAGCTGACTCCCATTTCTTCAATCTCTTCTCAGGGGATTTCTCATTGTCACCAGCAGCACTTTCCAGTTTCATGTTTTCCTGTGATCTGTTTCCAGCACTGATTGTTTAAACAGTTTTAAGTGGGAGATACTGTACATAGAGCCTGAGGTGGTTTTCAATTCAACTCTTTTACACACACTAGTGGTAACTTCATGTGGGCCATGGTAGGGAGGTTGCAGCAGCCGTTACTGTCTTGTTTTCCTTCTTGCATTCAGTAACACGACATCATCCCCAACCTCAAATGCTACTTACCCATGTTAACAAGTCTTAGTCTGGCAAACCGCAGTTGTTGTTTTTCTTGTGCTTTAGAAATATTACTAATTTAGCCAGTTCCACGTCAGCATCATTTCTAGGTTTCAACTAGATACTGCACTCTTTCTTGTTCCTCAGAATTTGGTGGCTTTGTAAACAAATGGAGAAGGAGTTTGTTCAATTCACAAATACATCACAGTATAAAATATGCACTGAAAGCTGATGTTTCTTAAAGACACTTTCCTTGTAATAGTCTGAAACTTGGTCTGGGAATGTTGCTTCAAAGCCATACAGTGGTTGAAAGGTGATATTTTGGTTTTTACATTTGGTTTTGACCACAAGGAAAATAAAATGTCACCAAGAAATGTAATGTCATCAATGAACTTCCACAATGCTGTGTAACAAGTAGTGATGGATTATTGGGTAGCGGAGGAAGGGAGAATTCTCTTTATGGAGACAAATGATATGGAATCCAAAAGGCATAAAGAGGAGACCATCCTAGTGCATTGGTGTGATTACTTTTTCTTGAAATGCAAGAAGAGTGAACTTGCCATGTACTAAAATATCTTTAAAGATTTTGGAGCACTCTGTAGCTTCTGTCCTAGTGTATTACCTTTGCTATTAATACAGTAATTTCCCCAGCTATTAATAATTTGCTATTAATACAGTAATTTCCTGAAATTGCCATTTGTGGATTTGTATTTTCAGCCAGTCCGTTGCTTTGTAGGTGACACGGGCTATGTTGTATTCTCAATTTTTGCAAATCTCCAGATAAAAGTGAAAGAAAATGAGTTATGCCATAAGCTTCCCTTTGGATAGATACGGTGGGTAAAAAGAGACCAAAAAGTTAAAAAAAACAAAAACCTTTGGCTAATCAGAGAAGATGGAGTTGTATTGATGACATTAACTGTTGCACTTAAGCATTATCAGATGCCTTCAAAGTCATTTATTCATTATAAGGCGTATGCATACAACAGATATCTGAGTAGAGAATGGGTCATCCTGTACTTGGTAAAGGGGGGAGGTGGGATTTCAGGATCTGACTATAAGCAGATGTTGAAAATTATTAAACGGGGAGTCACTGCTCCATGAACATACAGGGACTGTTGTGGTTGACAGGCCTCACTCACCACTCTGGCACCTCCTACTGCTTGTCCTGAGAATTAGCTTAATTCACTGGTGCATCCTTATCTGGATGGTGCCTCACCCTGGTCACTTCTGCTCCAGGAAGTGTGTTATCTCAATTAACACCACACTCTCTTTGGGACACAGCCCTCTGACTGCGTCACATCCTGCTCTCCTCCCTCCCATGGGAACTGTATTCCACAGTCCAGCCACATCTTCAGTGGTAAGTGGAGGCAAAAGGTGGTGATGATGGTGAATCCAGGCCTGCCCACTATAACAGATACTGACCAAAGGACCCTGTACGTGACAGCCATGTGTGACGTACCCTCCAATCTTGCAGTCTAGTTCCCAAGGTCATTTTCCACACAACCCCACCACCTTCTCTGCCCTTGTTCGAGGGCCCCAGCCTGCCAGTGGTCAGCTGGGAACTTGCTCTCACTCCCCTGATCCTGCCTAGAACTGCTCCGTCCCCAGTACTAGCTGTCAGACAGCCAGTCCTCCTCCCTCCTCTAGATCTAGGGAGTGACGGGCCTACTCTGCCCTGTGACTCTTTTTATATTGGCTTGCCTGGCCCTGGTTGGTTGGCTTCTCTTCGTAGCCCTCTCCAATTGGCTGTCTCCTGCACAGCTTCCCTAGGGTCCTCTTCAATTGGCTGCCTGTTGGGCAGCCTCCCTAGGGTTGCTTTAACAGCTTTCAGGTCAGCATGGGGCAGGTGCCTCATCGCACACTAGTTAATATGTTTAAGAAATAAAGTTAATTTTAGACTTTTAAAAATCACTAGGGGACAGTGCCCCCTGCTTGCTGCACGCACCAACCCCTCCCCCTGTCACAGGGTCGGGGAGAGGCAATCCTGGCTCTCCCCGCGCCGGCCATCAGGGAGGGCCATGCCACGCCGGGCCCCTTCTCCCTTTCCCCACCTCGGTCCACCAGCCAGGGTCCCCCCCAGACAGGACCCCTTCTCCCTACCTCAGCCAGCCCAGCCCTTCTCCTTCCCACCCCCCACTGCAGCCTAATTCTAACCCCGCAGCCAGGCAGCGGCGCACACTGGGTCCAGCTCAAACCCCAGTGGTTCTTTCCCTCTCTGGCTCAGCTCTTCCCTTTGTGCCCTGTCAACAGGGAGGGCCCAGCTCTGAGGCTAACCTTCCCCCGCCCTCTCCCAGCCTCTGGGCCCCTTCCCAGGGCCTTTTTGACTCCTTCCCCCCAGCACTGAGGGGGTAGCTGTGGCCTGGCTCTCCTCCAGGCTCTCCCAGAGGGGCTGGGGCCAGGTTTTCCCCTGGCTTGCCGGGAGGAGTCAGGCCCAACCTGCATGTGGCCAAGCCTGGCCATCTCTCCCCTGGCTGCGTTGTGCTTAAAAGAAGCACCCGGGATCTTTTCAGGGGGATAAGGCCTCACGCCGTATTTACTGAACATACATAAATCAATCAATATTTATCATCTGCATATGACACATCACACTCATGCACTCACACACACACACACACACACACATGCACACTCCATATTGTTGTTACCAATAGTTGCTCCCCTAACTGCACTGGCCAGCTGAGCTAGATGGGGGAGGGGTGGAGCCGGGCTTCTGCCAATCTGGATCGATGCTCCCATGTTGACAAAATGAAAAAACCTGGGGTCCCTCTGCAAGATGCCTTGTATTTATCCCTCTCATGCATGTCCCTCTGGGGCATCTGGTATTGGTCACTGTCGGCACACAGGATACTGGACTAGATGGACCTTTGGTCTGATGCAGTATCGCCATTCTTACAGGTATGTCCAGTGCATTAGATGCCTGGGCAAGGAGCACTTGCCCAAATCATGTCACCACCATGAAAAGCTCTCTGCCAGGTCACTTAAGGCGAGACATCTCCAGCTCAAGCTCCTGTCTATGGAGAAGACTGAGAGGCCAACGTCAGAACCACCATCCACCACATCACTGCCCCATACCTCTCCAATGGCAGTGTCAGACCAGGGCACAGCACTGAGCGATGAACCCTCCAAAAAGACTGCAAAGAAGAAGCACTCTTCACCTCCAGCCGATAGGCCCATGAAGAGAACATCCCCACAGCGTAAACCCTCTTCATCTAGGGTTTCAGCTTGAGAGGACGTGCAGGTACCGGGGAAGTTAAGACCACTGACAATGCAGGAAGACCCGGCGGTATCATCAGCACCAGGGACAGCTCTCTTCAGTACTGATGCAACACCGTCATGAAGGGGTCCGACCAAACTAGTCACTCCGGCTAGCTTAGTACAGCCCTTTTCCAGTGCTAGTGAGTATAAGCAGGACATGCCATTTTGCACCAAAGCTGGTCGTGCAGACCGAGCCACAGGTTGCCCCGACTCAACTGTGGCAACCTTTCCGGTGGCTTCCCCCGTTCCCCTCCTGTAGCCATGGCAAGGATGGGATCCATGGGGCACGGCCAAAACTCAATAACCTCCACCCATCAGGCCACAACTTCCTTCGCCACCTGCATCTGAGGTCACACAGGAGGAGACTGAGGACCTTGATGAAACCCAGGATGAAGAGACAATGTCTCCACACATCTCATCCTCTTCACCTGGCAGTCTATTATGCCACCCTTGCCTACCATGGGCGTTGAGTTCAGGTCATTCCAGGCCCTGCACAAGAGGGTTGTGGACTCATTGGACATCTCACTGGTTGAGGTCCCAGATATACAACACAAGTTAACAGATTTTCAGGCCTCTCCTCCCAGTACAATAGCATTGCCAGTTAGTGATGCTCTCCTGGATCCTACCAAGTGACTCCAGCAGACACCGGCTTCTATTCCTCTCATATTTAAGAGGGCAGACAAAAAATATTACGAACCAGCAAAGGGAGCCAAATTTCCGTTTTCACACCTCCCCCAAACTCCTGCATAGTTGATGCAGCAAAGAACAGAGGGATGCACACACAATTTTGATCAACTCCATACAATAAAAATTGGAAAAGACTAGACCTCGTCGGAAGAAAGTCATACTCTTTGGCATCCCTCCTGATTAGAACTGCAAATTACTCAGTTCTGTTTGCAAAGTACACGTGTAACCATTTTGATAAAATGAGACATTTTATTGATTAATTATAGGAGGAGGATAGAGCAGCACACACGTCCAGCATAGATGGGGGCATCCTGATCACAGAGACTGCCCTCCAGGCTTCCCGCGCTGTGCTGGATCAGCTGATTGTCAGCACAGCGCAGCAGCCATTTTTATTTTAATGAAGCGGGGATTATTTAAATCACCGCTTCATTGACTATGTCAAGTAAGCTAGTTTACATATCGACAGGGCCATGTAGTCTAGACATACCCTAAGGCCTCCATTGTAGCTTCTGATAGTCCCTCATCTCCTGATCAGCCACAGGGGTTCGTCCGTCACCCATCTCCCCACATTCTCTGTCTCCGAGCTTGGCTCCTCACTGGCTCTCCTCAATAGAAGCAACATTCACAGATCAGGTCAGACAGATCCTAATAAGTAGTCGCAGAGTCTCAACGAGAAAATCTTACCTGTACAAGTGGCGGAGATTCTCTTCCTTGGCGAACCTTAGAACCTCCCCCCATTTACTTGCACCTCTGCAGGTACGGGCATCACAGCTCCCATTGGCTCCGTGCTGTGCTGCCACTTGGAATGCTGCGGGGAACCTGGCATCAGGCTCCTCGCGGCATTTCAATGTGGCAGCACTAGTTGGGGCCCAGGATCAGCTGGGGACGACTCAGCTGATCCCGGCCTCCACGTGGTGCTACTGCTTTGAAATGTACAAGAGCCCCCACAGGGACTCCTGCACATTTCAAAGCAAAAGTGCCCAGGTAGAGTGTGGAGTCAGCAGGACTTCCTGCTGGCCCTGGACTCCACCCCACATTCCAACTTTGAATCACACAAGAGCCCCTGCTGGGACTTTTGTACTTTTTAAAGGCAGAACGTGGAAGTCGATGAAAATTCTATTGACTATTCGACTAGCTAATTAATTGCTACTTAACATCTCTAATATAGACACTGTGCTCTCTGGGCTGTATTGTATATTGACTCTGTGACCATTAGGCCATGCTGTGTATTGACTCTGTGCCTTCTGAACTATATTACCCTGACCCTGGGAGGGGGAAGGACAAAAGTTTTGTATTACCTGACCCAGTACTTTCTTTTCTGCAGCAGAAGTGAGAAGCTGGAGTGAAGACCCTGCTTCAGACTCCTGGGGAAAAAACAAATGTGACTTGTGCTGCAGAGAGCAGGTAGGGGATTGTGTATGTTGTTGTTGTGTCTGGGCCCTGTCTCACACAGTCAGTGTGTCTGTTCTGTGGGGAGGCCTCCACACGGGACACTGTGTGACTCAGTGGAAACTACACGTTGGTGTTTATATGTTCGGATCAAAGCACGAAGGGTGAGAAAATAGGAGAAAAATTGGAGGGGTTACAAACAACTTAGATGCAGTTCTACCCAAGACAGTGGCTCTTTTGGCCTTGACAGAGCTGGTCCCCGTGTGTCTCAGAGCCAGAGCTGCTGCCAGGAGTAATAGCAAAGAGTTTTTGCTCCTGTGAACCCATAAAATCAACACAGTGAAGAGAACAAGAGGGAATCTATTCTGGCCCTTGCTAAATTGCTAAAAAATCTGCAGTTAGTAAAACCCCGTGTAAAATACCCAAACAAAAACTGCATGAAAATGGAATATTAAGAATGTATCAGTAATTGAAGGGTAAAAAACCAGACATATTGGACCTCCCCCAAAACCAGGCACTACAAACCCAGGGGGTTCAGAATTAAGGTTCCAGCTACAAGAACGTCCAATCAATAAAGATTTGGAAATGCCCAGTTATGGCGCCCAAATAACTTTTACTATGTCAGGAGTGAGGCCACACAGTACCCATGGGATTGTGATCGCCTAAGCAGAGTCCATAGTTCTAAATGAAATGTAACTGATTTGAAAGACAGATCTGACTGCAGATCGCTGCCCCCACCTTTGGAAGGAGAGCTTCTCTTCATTCCCCCTGGGAGCAGTGGGAGGTGGTGGCTCTTTGGAAAAGGGGTGTCATTGCACAAGGACAGTCGGTGGCCTCATTCTCACTGAGACTGGTACGGGAGGGGAGCAGGAAATCAGAACGAAGCCTGAAGTCCGGTGAGAAGCCAGGGGCCAGCTGTCCCCAGTACCCCATTGCAAATGAAGGCTCTGGTAGACAGAGCAACAGGCTAGGACGATGGGGCATTTAGCAGCAGCACGCTGAATGGACCGGAGGGTGGGAGCAGACTAATCAAGTCACAAGGTGATTCAGGCTTGGGGAGTGTTTTGGCAGCCAGGGCAGGTCGCTCACTGACGGGTTTGTACAGCACCCTGCCTCTAGCTAACACGTCTTTCTTGTCACAAGAACCGTCCAGCTCCCAACCCTTCCTGGGCCAAGTTAACACAGATGTGTTCCTTGTAGGATTTTGCAGAAGAAGTAAAGCCAGAGATTTTGCCAGGCCCACAGAAGCACCAGAAAACATACAGGTCAGAGCTGGGGGCGTTATTTCATTGGCGTTGATGACGACATTCAGAATGGAGGCTGCCTGACATTTTCCATTATGAAACCCTCTTTTCAGGTCCTTACAATTTTGCCAAAATTCAAACTGCAATTTTCCACTCTGGGTCTCTGCTTCAGGCTACATTTTTGGAGAAACTGCCAACTAATGCGAAAATAATAACAGGGGCAAGGGTTGTTTAGCCTGTGTTACACAATTTTTACGGTTGTTTCCTTTAGAAGCTTTAGCACCTCCATGTTTTAGAGCAGGGAATTGAAATTGAAAATTTCTGCTCTTTTGAAAAGCCATCTCAATTTGGCCTGTTATAAGCTTATGAAAATCCCAGGTTAAACATGCTCTATAGTGACTTCAATTAGCATGTCCTTTCACACAGCCTATTGTGGTTTTATTGATTAATATATTGTTGTTATTATGCATGTGTCTGTGCACAAGTATAGATGTGATGTGATTTAAAATCTGGGATCTTTTGTTATTGAGAAAGGGGGGGGGAGTCCTGCAAAGATTTATAGAAATTGGAGGAAATATTTGAGACCCATAACATGGATTAGTCTAAAGATTGTCAAGATGGGGATGTTTAGCTGCATATTGCCTAGATTTGATTGTGCCATTGGACTGCTTGTTATTAGCTAAACTCAGTGTCTTTTCTAACTTAACTTTTAGACAACCAGGCTGTGTCTAGACTGGCCAGTTTTTCCAGAAAGTCAGCCGCTTTTCCGGAAAAACTTGCCAGCTGTCTACACGGGCCGCTTGAATTTCTGCAAAAGCACTGACGATCTCATGTAAGATTGTCAGTGTTCTTGCGGAAATACTGTGCTGCTCCCATTTGGGCAAAAGTCCTTTTGCGCAAAACTTTTGTGCAAAAGGGCCAGTGTAGACAGCTCAGATTTGTTTTGTGCAGAAAAGCCCCAATTGTGAAAATGGCGATCGGGGCTTTTTTGCGGAAAAGCGCGTCTAGATTGGCACGGACGCTTTTCCTCAAAAAGTGCGTTTGCGGAAAAGCTTCTGTGCCAATCTAAACGCTCTGTTCCGCAAATGCTTTTAACGGAAAACTTTTCCGTTAAAAGCATTTGTGGAAAATCATGCCAGTCTAGACACAGCCCCAGTGTATGAGGGTCAAGTGGAGAAGATCGGGGATCGGGGGCAGTCCTGTGCTCCATCCCTGGCTCTGGGGTTTAGGCTCTCGTGATGCTAGCATGTGGGGACTGCTGGGTTCTGAACCCAGTGATGTGATTTTTGGGAAGTCACCTTTCTCTTGAATAAAAATTCAGCGTGTTGATGGTGCATGATAGTTGTGAGTCCTGTATGGTGGCACGGTCCTCGCTCAGGTCCCTTGGCCCAGGACACCATCTTGTCTACAAATCAGCCAGAAACCCTTCCTGGTACAGTCACCCCTGCCTTTTATTGTCAGCTTCCCACCACCTTCTATTTACAGCAGTGGTTCCCAAACTTTCTGGCATTGTGCCCCCCTTTTGATTTCTGAGAAACCCTCATGCCCCCCCTCAAAAAATAGCAGCAAAACTTGGGGTGGGATTGATGGGGGTGTGTGGGGCTGGGTCACCTCGTGCCACCCCTGGAATTTCTCATGGCCCCCCAGTTTGGGAAACCATGATTTAGAGTTTTGGTGTACATTAAACTCAGCCAGCCTCTCTTTCTGCCTGGGGAGCACACTCAGCCACACCCTGGCTCCTCCCTCCTGGCTCCTTTCACTTCCCCTCTGGCTGCCTTATCTAGCCCTCTGGCTAATGAGACCCACAGCTCATCACCAAAATCAGTGGCTGTGGGTTTGCTCATCTGCCTGCAATCACTCTTTTCAGCCAGGCTGTAGCGGCAGAGCTCTGACTTAGCCAGCCCTCTGTCACAGTACCTAGAACTTTGTGCAGATCCAAAATTTGTATCCTCAGCTGCAAAAAAGATCTGCGACTGTCCACACCCACATACGCAGCTGCAGACTTGCAGGCTTCTAGATACAAAATTGGTATCTGCATCCATCTCTGCAAAAATGAGCCGAACGGGGGGAACTCAACCGGATAATAAATTAAGAGAACATCCTTTATCCTGCCCCTTTCCCCCACAAACCACTCACTCCGTTGGGCTGATAAAACTGATGGGCACTTT